TTTAATGGTCTTTTTAATTCTTTAATTCAATACCGTGCTCAATACCGTAAGAAATCTACAAGTGTTAGGTTTGTTCTATCGTTAAAGACAGTGGTGATGCGTTTTTCTCGTTCAGCGTATTCTTTGAGAGCTAGGGAAAGAACTCTCCCGCAAAAAATATCCACTGCCCTGCGAGTAAGATGGTTTTATTTCCAATTGCGATTCATCAATACTTAGTGTACAAGAATATTACAAACTAGACGTATTAAAATAAAAAGACGACGGACAAGAATGAAGTAACTATGAGCTGCAAAAGATTGTCCACGGTGTGGCTGCACTATCATGTGTAAACATAATATATATCAATAAACCTCCTACACGTCCTTTATATTATAAATATTCGTTTATGTAACCAATATCTTAGGTAACTTGGTGAAAATCATTTTCAGAATTAAAATATGTTAAAAATCGGTTACCCTTGTACGCTTAAACAGTCAAATGTAGAGGCATTTATGTTGATGAAAAGTGAAACCAATTTATTAAACCAAACAGATATTCACAATATAGTTAATGATTTAACCAGATTAAGTCAACAGTTTTCTAAAAATTATTTTATTAAAGAAGTGTCCTTTTTTTATTGAACATAGGTTCTGCAAATTTTATATTGATATTTAAAAATATTTGAATAGTTTTAAAATATTTTATTCGTGTTTGTTCTTTTATTATATGTTGTAGATATGCTTTATTGCATAACATATTTTTAAACACAAAAAGGAACTGAAATCTGCATATTTATTAATAAATAACGTTTTTTAAAATTTAAATTAAAAATTTAAATATTCTACTTTGTGTCACTGCAAAATTTACATGTATCGCATTATCATCTAGTACCATCTTTAAATAAAATAGTTTTATAGCTTGATATCTAATGTGCATTTAAATTAATAAGTACATCATTTATACAACTACTTCTACTGAAGTATCTAGAATATTTTGTAATCATATTTATCATTCTAATATGAATTAATGTTATTTGTATTTTAAACTTTTTATTTAAATTAATGTATTAATGTTATACATACCTTCTAATTACGACTGTTAATTAATTAATTAGTTATAGATGAATGTATTTTTTATTTACAGTGATGTCAAGTTTTAAGGGACGATAAATTATTTTCCCGCCCCGGTCAGAATCAACGTATTCTTCTCTGTCACACGCATATACTCAGGGTCACTTTTATGTAGTAATCTACTATCTAGTGATGAATTTAAAAAGAAAAAAAAATCAGGCAACCGAATTATCAAGAAAATGTACCATCGGACAACTGAGTTGGCAACAACAAAATGCCCGACAAAATGAACTGATGTGCATTATTTATTTTCAAAATTTCAAAAAATTTCAATAAATTTCACTTCATAGAATAACGCGTTTATATTGATGTTGGTCTTTTCTGTTGCTTTCCTTCAGTCTTATTGAAATACTGTCTTCACAGAATATGCTCAGATATTTCGCATGACTAACATTTTTCTACGTTTTATTTGCTTTCTATTTCTATTTTTACTCTTTATACCAAATTCAGTGGCTCTTACTGTCGCAAAAGTCAAATTATGAATAAATTCTTACCCAGATTCATATCATAGCAATGCACCTTTCAAGCCAAAAAGTATCGATGTGCTTTCGAGGTCTTTCAATCGATATACATGTTTTCTCTGACTTCCAAAAACAAATCGGTTTAGGACAGTTCTTCATTACTTTAAGCCACATTGACAATATTTGTAGGTCGAAATCACTTACTGCGTTGGTTCAACTTTCAAACTGTTGCCACCAAATATTATCACCATGTATTATATTTAAAGAAAATATATAACGAAGAATCTGCATGAATGTATGAACTTTTCTCAAATTGTGAAAAAACAAGAGTACCTAGAGCAATAAAATTTTGAATAACGTTCTCCTCCAACCGAATAAAGCACTTGGAAGGATGAATTTTGAATTTCGTATTTGCTTTATTATTTACTTCAAATTTTCTAAAACTTTAACGAAATTTTGATTAAAAAAACTCAACGATTTCAAAGCGAGCAATGGCAACACTGTATGCAAAAAAATATTCATCTTCAGCGCGTGAGTTTCTGTATCGGAAAGTTTTAAAGATATTCTCTTTTTTAAATTATTTGGCGATATTGCTGTTGAATTGAATTTTGTGGTTTAAGTGCGAAGAACATGATATTTAATAAATAAAGGTAAGACTCAAAACGTTAAAAAAACACTCCTTTGAGCGTAATTTCAGATTTGTCTTCTTTAAAATTTTGTTTTTAATTTTTTAAGATTAATTTCGGTTCAAATACGAAATGTAACTTTTTTATTGGTTCAGTGTAATCCTGTAATTTATGTATAGAAAATTATTTTACTCGTCATAAAGTATAAAATATAAAATGTCAGAATCCCGTACGACAAAAATGGGACGAAGTATTTGGATCAGAAACCATATTCAGGGACTGTGTACAAAATGACGAGCGAAATGTTTGCAATCTCTATGTAACTAAAAATAAAGTATTACTTTATAAAAAAGATTTCTGAGGTTAGGAAATTAAGTGATGAAGATTTCTACGTACATCATTGTGAAAAGTATTGATCAATATAAATGTGTTCGAAATAGAAATTTTATTAAATTGTGATCTGTAGTTCACTGATTATTTCTATCATTATCAGATTTTGATTCTAAAGTAATAAACGGTGCTACTTTCGTAGACGGTTGCACGGATTTTTGGCGATTTACGTTGGCGCAATTGTTGGCGCGATTTCTACAAACGTCAGCCATCTTGAAAACGCTGTTTTTACTCATAGTAAAGTATTCGAAACTTAAAAAAAATAAATATCGTTAGAAATAATGGATTAATTTTTTTGTTGAAAATGTCGTTTTTTAAGATGGCAGGCAAGTGTAAATAAATACATTTACTGTGAGTATAAAATACTAAAGTAAGGTTATTATTACTTTCATATCGCAAAGAAGAGAATAAAAACACCGCTATAAAAACATTGTGCCAACGTTTAATTAGATTAAAATATTACTGAAATTGAATATCGAAATAAAAAACATCATCCAACATTTAAAAGAATTAGAATATTATTAAATTTAAATACTTTAAAATACGTTAATTATATAGAATAAATACATTTACTACGAGTATAAAATACTAAAGAAAGGTTAAATTATTACTTTCATATAGCATAGAAATAGAATAAAAATACCACTATAAAAACATTGCGCCAACTTTTAATCGGATTAAAATATTACGTAAATTGAATATCGAATTAAAACCATCATACCAACGTTTAAAAGATTTAAAATGTTACTTAAATTAAATACTTTAAAATAAGTAAATAAGAACGCTTCGTACACTAGAGCTAAAATGATAGCAATTAGTTTATTGTCGGTAAAAAAGGAGGAATGTCTAATAATGTTCTTACCGTTACAGCGGTTATTTCTTCCAACATGACCACAATATCATATACGGCCGTCTCAGAATCGGCTCTTCTAACGGTCTTCATCTGTGATCTACATTTTCGCACTTCATTGAAGAAACAATTAGCGACGTTTCCTCCAAAAATTTTAAATAAATTTCCTCTGACCCTTGTAAGAATTTATAAATAAATCTTTGATTAGGAAAGCCAGGCTGACGAAAATAAGGTCTCAAAGGACAATTTTTTGATTCCGAAACCAAAAATTCTTGGTACTTATCAAAAACAACATTTATCTTTGAAGGAGACATTTTTGAAGGAATTCGAAGATATGAATTAAATTTTAAAATGGCGCGGTAATGCACAAATTTTCAGCAACCTATCAGGGAGCTGATTACTGCTCATTAATGCACAAATATTTTATAACCAATCAGAGAGTTGATTACATCACGCCTAGAATTAAAATTATTAAAATAATCATACATAATAAAATCATTTTAAAAAAGAAATGCAAAATTAAATTGTATTTTAATATTTAACAGCCATAAATAATGTTTAAAACATTAGATTAAATTTATAGATATTAATACCAATTACTTTTAAAGTAAGGTGACGTCACTGATTACATCATCCACAGCATAAAATTTCATAAAATATGATAAAGAATAAAATTTTTATTTCAAATAAAAATGCAAAATTAAATTGATTAATATTTAGAAGCCATAAATAATATTTAAAACACGGAATTTGTGCATAATAATACGCATTATTTTTTAAATAAAATGTCAACAAAGTGTCGGTTACCATAAATTAACTTATCCAGCAATGGGTTTACCATAAGTCGTATTACTCGCCAAAAGAAAAATTGCCAAAAACTCGCCAAAATCCGTGCAACCGTCTACCAAAGTAGCACCTAATAAACTTCATATGTATATTAATAGCATATATCTAGACTTCAAAAAATTATATATTACTTGTTTGAAAGTTCTTTTCTGGATACCAAATGCGACACAATTATAAATTAGTCTTGACTTATAATTGCTTGAAATATAGTTCTTCTGATTCTGTTTCCTTGCATTTTAAACTTAGGTAAAGATCAATAGGCTTTCGGAGTTCTCCTCATGTGTTACTTTGTGATTCTTTAACATTTTGAACTGGAGTAATTTCTGTTTTGTTTTAGTATTAAATAAAGCCCCTTGTAAGGTAATAAATTTGAATTTACTGCGTACCACAATCTAAATATGCTATTTCATGTTGTAGAGACATTAGGTATTTTTTGGAAGCAGGCAAGATGAAAAATTAGCAAATGCCTCTGCCGGGAATCGAACCATGGACCTTCATAATACCAGCCCAGCGTGCAGATCACTACACCACGAAGGCACGCTAGGAATGTGGGAGAAATACCTTATAATGTTGTAGTGTTATGCGCCCAATCTCTGCATTTTATAACATATAACGCACTTTTCTGTCTCATGCTGTGTTTGTTTACATTTTAACATGTTGTAGAGCAGCAACTGTGTATATCAATCTCTCACACTATACTGATATTTTATCTTATTTCAGAATCTCTCCACGAATTTGAGAAACAACTATCGTAAAGTCTATTGATTAAAAATTGCATTAGACAACAAGGTATGTTAATTTATAATGCATGGTTTTATTCTATAATGTAAGCACATAAACAGAAAAATGAAATTAATATAATTTGTTAAAAATAAATTATAAGATGGAAGTTAAACAATAAATGGAATTAGTTTAAGTCAGAATACTTTAGCAGGTAAAATACGTGAAAAAGAAATTTGCGGGGCAATTTCTTCAAAATACTGCAACCAATGAATTTTATCATTCATTATTAAAGAAGTTATATCTAATCCTTATCCAGTGAAAATAACTTTTTACATCGTAGTATTATCATTTATTATTTTATCATTATTATTTTATAATCGTAGTATAATCAAGACGTCAAATAATTATACCGTATTTGAAATTTGAAAAATTTTCAGTACCCATATTAACATGAACCTTCATGATTGCACAAATCTTTCCGAAATTCTAAAATCTTCTAATTTACACCTAAGCGACTAATTACACCTACCTTTAATTACTTCTAATTTACACCTACCTTTAATGAGAGCAGCTTAAAAAATTGACCTTAAACCTCACGAGAACTTTTTATACAAGTAGTTGATGAACGAACTGAAATTATGCAGTGAGAGTGAATTAAAGTAAAACCATTATTTTTAATACCTTCCATATAAAACTTACGCCGCATGAGAAGCTTTGATGTAACTATTGATATTCCATTGATGTAACCGTTCATCAGTAAACGTAACAGTAAGATTTCGCAGTGACCAATAATGCACCACTGATATAATCGTCGCCGATGCATATAACGAGCACAACTTCCAAATGTAGCTCTGCCGCTTGATTGGGCAGGCTAGCTGGCCATGGATGGCGGCTGCTTCGTCATTTTGCGGGCGACAGATACTACCAAGATATTTTAGTACACTGAGGTTACAATAGCTCCTTCTTTCCTCCATATTTTACTGAGCCTAGTTAATCCTTTGAACCCTGTGGGTGTGTAGCTATTCTAGGTCCAAAGGGCTGTGGCATGAATTTCTACTTTTTGATAGATAACCACTGTCTCATGTACTTATCCCTACGCTTTTCTTCCTCTCCATCCCATCACGATAGCAATTAAATCACTTGGACTTCTTATGTTAATTAAAGTGATATATGCATTATAATTAGCATCAAATAATGGAAGTATCACTGAAAATATATTGAGAAAAATCCTCCGAAAATCAAGGCCATCTTGCTTCCTAAATGTATTGTTACGAAATGTACAGACGCGGTGAGATAGCTTTCCCGCAAAGCAGTTTTAGAGTAGCTATAAAATGACAAATGAAGGCAGGGTTGCCACATTTGGCGAGAAATCGCCCATTCGGTGACGAAATTGGCGATATGCCATGGACGGATGGAGAACCTTCTGGAACGAATTCTGACCGGTTTAGCCCAGAATGTTCTCGAACACCAGCCAAAAGCTATATAAATTCTGCTAGTACGCGGAGAGTTAGTATTGAGTGTGTGTGTGCCTCGCCTAGCGAGCTCATAGTCAGTCATTGAGCGAGTGTCTCGAAGTCTAGTGCCGAGTTGGTCGTCAAGTGCATCAAGAGTGTCTGTTAGTGTATCGCGGTTAGTGCATCGTCGAGAAAGCGTGTTGACTGAACCTGTGAGGTGTCTCTTATTGATGAGTCATAAATTCAAATATCGTTTCGTTTCAGGAGTCAAGGTTGGGAGAGCATTAGAATTTCAAATCCAAATTTCAAGAGTCACGGAACATAGAAATAACATTTATTAACGATAAACTTATATTAATTCCGCTTATAGCGGCCATGAAACATAATCAAGCATCAAATAAATATGACATGCGTCATTCTTCATGTTCAAACGTCAAGTGAAATATTTTTCATCGGCGCGCATCAAGAGCGCCACCTATCTACCAAAAAGACGGAACATACTCCGCCCCGATGAACATTGGTTCATTACAACATTATTATAAAGATCTTCAATTTTAGATTTAAACAAGTTTTCCAAAGTTCAACAGTATATCATATAAAATAAAAATGCATAATGACAAATTTAAATTGAATAACAACATTAAATTTAGCACAAAATTTTACAAATAAAACATACTTACAATCTCTAGAAGGAAAACAATATAATGAAACTGCTAAATTACCATAATCCACAATTGTGGTCCATTCTCTGAATCTGAAACATAATTGAATTAATAATAATAATAAAGACACAAATTATGAATATACAATTAATGTTTTTTTTTTTTTTAGAGTCTTATTCACTCAATGGTAAGCGGGAAAGTTTATGTATAGGACGCTTCATTTCGCCCAATAAAGTTTTTAGTTTCACAACACGAACTTTTCCATCAGCACCAGGATATAGTTCAATTACTCGTCCAAGTCGCCACTTTAATGGAGGCAAATTTTCGTCCTTTATCAAGACTAAGTCATTGAGGGCTAAATTTGGTTTATCCCTCAACCATTTGGTACGCCCTTGTAATTGTGAAAGATAATCTCTAGACCAACGTTTCCAAAAGCTCTGGAAAATTTGCTGTGTCAATTTCCATCTTTCAGCAGGGGTTAGCTTATTATTTGTAAGATCAGGTTCAGGAATTGCTGTTAATGTAGTCCCAATTAGGAAATGTCCAGGTGTTAAAGGATTAAAATCTTCAGGGTCAGATGAGATGGAAACTATTGGCCTTGAATTCAAACACGCCTCGATCTGTGTAATTAAGGTGTGAAATTCTTCGTATGTCAGAACCTGGGTCCCAATAGTCCGCTTTAAGTGAATCTTCATTTGTTTCACTCACTCCAGCCTCCCAAAGGCCTCCAAAGTGAGGGGCAGCAGGAGGATTGAAGATCCATTGAATATTTTCACCGCTCAGGTAGTTTTGAAATGCTTCGTCAGAGGAAAGTGTAGCTATGTATCTTCTTAATTCTCGATCAGCCCCAACAAAGTTGGTTCCTCTATCGGAAAAGATTTTCTTGGGTTTTCCTCTGCGTGACACAAATCTTTTCAGAGATGCTAGGAATGCTTCAGTTGTTAGATCACTGACTACTTCTAGGTGAATGGCCTTTGTGGTGAAGCATATGTAAAGGCAAACGTAACATTTATATCTCTCGTTCCTCCTCTTCCTTTCCTAGCTTTAATTAAAAAGGGGCCTGCAAAATCTAGTCCTGTATTCGAGAATGTTCTATCCGGCAATACGCGAGAAGCAGGTAGGTCGCCCATTATCTGACTGGATGTGCTTGTTCGATTTTTAAAACATTTTATACATTTCCAAATTATTTTTCTTACAATTTCTCGGCCATTAACGATCCAATATTTCTGTCGCAGAGCAGATAATGTTAATGTGGCTCCTCCGTGAAGGTTCACTTCGTGAAAGTGTTTGACTATCAATTCAGTAACTTGGTGACTTTTGGGAAGAATGATTGGATACTTTGTGTTTTCTGAAAGATTCGAGTTACAGAGTCTACCACCGACTCTAAGGATTTCTTCTCTATCAAGAAAAGGATTTAATTTCAGGATTTTACTGCTGAGATTCAATTTCTTCCCTGCTTTCAAAAGTCTAATTTCTTCTCTCTAAATTCGGAATTTTGTATGATTTTAAAAATCAAATTGCTTGCCTTATCCAATTCTTGAACTGTTAAAAAACCCTTGAGTTTTAAAGATGTAGGTTTAATATTGTGGCAGAATCTTAAACACCATGCAGTTACGCGTTTCAATTTTTTCCAGGATGAAAACCTGGATGTCAATTCAAATTCAACCTCTTGGCTAATAACAGAATATACAGTAGTTTGACGCTGTTCTACCTGTACCTCTTCCACCATAGGCTCAATCAAAGGATCAAAAGATGATGAAGGTACATTTTTCTCTTTTAACCACACTGGTCCATTGAACCAAAGTTTATTTCCCACTAGATCAGAAGCTCTTAATCCACGTGAAACTATGTCAGCCGGATTGTCATTTCCCTTACAGTATTTCCATTGCGAAGGTGATACAACATCTTGTATTTCACGTACACGATTAGCAACAAAGGGTTTCCGTTTATCAGCGGTACTCTTGATCCAGTGAAGAACAATTTTAGAGTCACTAAAACAAAATACATTATCTTCTTGGATATTAAATAATCCCTTAAATATTTAACTATTCTTGCGGCAATAATGGCTCCCATAAGTTCTAAACGAGGCAAGGTTAATTTTTTAAGTGGGGTTACACGGCTCTTTGAAAGAACAAAAGACGTACAGCAAGAATCAGGATCACGAAAATATGCAACAGCTCCATATCCCTTGAGGCTGGCGTCACAAAAGACAAAAAGCTCTATTTTATCGAAATTTCCACATTCATCATTTAATATGTATTTTCTAGGAATACACAAGTTGAGAATAACTTCAATTTCAAAGTACCAAGTTTTAAATTTTTCACTCAAATAACTGGGCAAAATTGTGTCCCAATCAATACCCAATTCCCATAACTCTTGTAATAAGAATTTTATTCTGATAACAAAGGGTGCAATGAATCCAACTGGGTCATAAATTTTTGCCACAATCTGTAATACCTTTCGCTTTGTAACGTGTTTCCAGTCAACTGGTTGTAAAAGTTCTTGTACATCTAATTTCAATGTGTCCTCATCCAAATCCCAAATTATTCCCAGCACCTTTAACGTTTTCTTATCCAAATTATCTTCCTTATTAATTAAACCAATATCTTGCCAATGATTTTTTAAAGATACGGAATTTGATTCAAATTTTTTTAAGTTCATACCAGCGTCTTGAAGAATTTTAACTGCATCAGTTGATAATGAGAAAACTTCTTCAACGGAGTCTGCTCCATGGATAAGGTCATCAACATATAAGGACTTATTTAACATGTCAACAGCTTTGCTATATTTCTTTTCATAACCCTTAATATGATGTTTGATAGTGGCGGACAAAATAAACGGACTTGTTGTCATTCCAAACGGCACTCGGCACATTCGGAAAACCTTAAAGCCTAAACTATTGTCACTATCGTCGTAAGAATGATCAAACCACAAGAACCTTAAAAAATTT